AGAGGTGGGAGGGAAAGCAGATGAACGTGGAATCATGAGGCCAAACAAAGAGTGTGGCAAGGAGTTGCTGGCGAAGGGTCTGAGCACTGCTGAGCAGCCTTTCAAGAGAAGGCTAGAGGCGCATCCAGGATTTGGCAGCACCGCACACAGCAAGAGCCGATTTGGCAGAGGATTGGCAGACGTGGGAGCCAGACAGAAGGGTACTGGGAAATGAATGGGCCGTGGGAAAGCGGAGGCAGTGGATGCGGCAACTCCCGACTGAACTGTGCCTGGGACCGGAGGGGACCTCCTAGGTAACGGGAGGCAGTTCTGGGTCCAAGCGGATCTAAGCAGGTGTGGCTATGCTCGACTCTGAGAGAACGGCACAGATGCCATTCAGACGGAGATGGAGGCACCGGTGGCTGAGGGTGTGGTGCAATCAGGGGAAAGTCACAGGGGACTGAGAGGGACCAAAAACCCACGTAGGGGCATTGCCAGCTGGGAAGAGGGTATTTGCCTACAGGAAGGAACAGGGTCACATGGGACTTGTTATGAGAGTGGGCAGTAGAGGGAGGTGGCCACTGGCTCCTATTTCATCATGATGGCTAGATTCATGGTTGGCTGGAGTTGAGGGAGTAGCAGCAGATAGTAGGTGGGATCTTGAGAAGCATGGAGGTGGGAAATGATAGTATCTGGAGGATATAAAACAGAAGGGCAGGGCACATGGATGACTGCCAGTCAGTATTAATAATTTGGCTACTTCAACTAGAGAAGACAGAATTAGGTTTTCTCAGAGACAGGGCATAAGAGACTTGGCTACATTTGGTAGAGAGCTTATGCAGTGGGCAGGGAGCTAAGGGGAAGGATGCTGACTGAATGGGACATGGACCTGGGCTGTTTAGTATCAGGGTGGAGTAGAATGCTGAGGAGGAACCCTGGGAGGAGAGGCAGTGCTATGCATGCATCTGCTTCCCGGGTTCCTGACAGAGTGAAAGAAGAGACTGTGGGGATTTCATGGAGCCTCTGGAGACAAGAAGAGAGGGAACTGCTAGGCCAGGGTGCTGACCATTAGCCTGGGCATTGTTGTCAGCTAAGTTGAAGGCTGGGCTTGAGGGGCTAAAAGAACTTGAGCCAGAGTCTTCTGAATTCTGCAGAAGGTCAGGAACCTCAAGAAGTAGATTCAACACGGGAGTGATAGCACCGAGAAAACGACCTGACCAGGATGGAGAGGATCCAGAGAAGCAGCAAGTGCCATAGGAAGCCTGTGTCCTGCTCCTAGAGCCCATCCATGATGGCTTTACCCTGCAGCTTCGGGGGCTACCAGAGGCTCAGGTCCTGGAGCCCTTAAAAACAGATTGTGGTGTTGGAACATAATAAGAAACAGCAGGTTTTTTTTTTTTTTCTTTTCCAGTCAACTCTGGTTGGTTCACTCCTGTGTATGAACGTCTTCCTGTGGACAGTACTCTTTCCGGCTGTCTCTCAAGCTTGTACTCATCTCATCTCTTCATTCTTCCCTCTAGGAGGCTCCAGCTCCCAGATTCAGGGTCATGAAACCAAAATAGCACATAAAGCAGCTGTCCTGCCTCTATGATACTAAACATCTGGGCCCTAGGGCTGCCTGAGGGGGCTGGAGCCTTTCTGTATGCAGACACCCCATAACTTGCTAGTTAGAATTTTCATCTTCCCCCACTGTCTCTTTCCTGCCCTTTCTTCCCTTCAGAGCCATTCTAACCCAGGCAGGGTGTTGTGCACAGACAAGAATGGTTGGCTTTCTACCTGTCCCTCAGTGGGGAGTAGCCCGTGGGTGACATACACGTTCACAGACTCTTTTGGGGCTCTCTGGCTTCCCAGCAGCAAGTAGGTGGGTCTGTGAGCCTCCCTCCCTCAGAGGCATTGCATAAGCAGCCTCAGCCCTGAGTACATTCCCATGGTTACCGGGCTGAGAAAGGCTGGCTGAGATGGCATCGCCATGGCACCAGCATGGTCCGCAGTTCTGCTGGGCGTGGCTCTGGCATGCGTAGCTCTGGGCTCTTGCTGGACAGATGGCCTTCACAGAGTTGTTCCCAGACATCCAGTGGCCTTGGATATCATGAAGTGAGGTAAGCAGACAGGAGCAGGCTGGGTGGAGTATGAGGGCTTCTCATGTCCTCCAGGTCTTCACGGAAGGCCTTCAGCCACTCAGCCAGCAGCCTTATTGTGTTGTAGCCTCTGAAGCCAGCTTTTCCACATCAAGAGCTCAGCATAGAGCAGATAGGCTGAGCCATAGCTCTGCCCATTGCCTATGCCACCTTGGAAGCCCCTTACTCAGGCCCACTGGAATATGGAGCCTGGACTCCATAACCATCTCTGTCTTGCCATCTTCAAGCCGACTGTGCCCAGAAATACCACAGAGTCAGGGATAAGAGCTCTAGACCTAGCCCCATCTCGAGAACACAGGAGGATGGAGAACAAAATCAAGTGTGATGTAGGCTTTCAGGGTGGCTGAACTGTCAAAGCTGCTGTGGAACTGGCTCGAGAGGAGAAAGTCATGGAAGGGGGCTGCCAAGATGTTGTTCAATAGATGAGTCTCTCAAAAGCCTGTGTATAGAAGTGGCTCAAAGATAGGCTCTGTGGTACTGGAGCACAAAAAACTACATGTAGAAGGTGGTAGGATGGAGAGCAAGACCCTCTGGGGTATTCTGATGCCATGTGGGACCCAGGAAAACCTTAGCAGACAGAACTGTCTTGGGCATACCAGATTTGTGCAAGTAGTCCCCCAAAACTCAAGTTTTCATCTATGCTGGTCCTATAAGATGTCCCAGAAATGATCACCCAGCTCTTTCAGCCTGGTTCCAAACTTTGCAAATCCTGGCTTTCCTACCAGCACTTCTTCTACACTGGAACAGTCATTCCACATAGCTTCTCTCCTTCCCAGCCCAGCCAACCAATCAGGATCATCGAAATCATCCTAATGGTCCCAGTCCACCCTCTGTCACTGTTTTCCATGTATAAGCCATATCATGCTGCACCAGCCTCCTGTCAGACCCTAAACTGAGACCCTCTTGCCCTTCACAGCCCATGTAGTAGGGACAAAACAGACCTTGTCACTTCCCTGATGTGACAACACTTTTTAAAAGTATGGGATCTGTAACAAGAAGGGCAAATGTCCTCTCATTTGGCTGGGCACTATGTGTCAAGACAGTCAAATGTTTCAGAATGGCTATGAAAGTGTACCGAGTATCAACTTTGGGACTAGAGAGGGGAATTCACAAATATGAGACCCATGTAGGGAGGGTCAGCTGCCTATCATTGAAGCATTCTGTATATGCGGCCAGTCTTTCCTCTGCCCCCCTTACAGCTATATCCACAGATAGAGTCAGAGCAGGTGTCTATCTTAAACTCTTTTGTGTTGCTATGACAAAATACCAGAATCTGAGTGATTCATAAAAGCCAGGCATGAAATAGGCTCACCATTCTAAGTGCCCAAGGGCATGGGGTCAACACGTCAGATTTGGTGAGGACCTCTAGCCTACCTCAACACATAGTGGATGCAGCACACTGGACACACTTATGGAAGGGGCAGAGATATCACAGGGAAAGATAGAAGGGGGATTCTGAGCATCAGCAAGAGCTTTGTAGCACCCCATTCTCTCGAGAATCAACTCATACCCCACTATCAGCATTAGTTCCTTCCGAGAGTGGTTCTGACCTCATTACGTACCACATGGCTCTACTTCTTAAAGCCTCCCCACCTCTAACCACTGCTACCCTGGGATCTTCCAGCACATGTTCTCTCTGGGACACAGTCAAACCATGGAAGCACCAGCAATGTCCAGTGACACCCAAGCATGCGCACAAACAGTGCTTATAGGGAAAGGGATAGGGCATTGCTTTCTATTAGAGTGCTAGCCTGGAAAGCGCAGGAGAGAGAGAAAAAGAAAGATTCTGGCAGGAAAGTGGGAGTCCATAAGAGAAAGCTCTCATTCCGTACTGTCTCTTTATCTCTGTTGTCTCTGTTCTTGTCAGACTCATCATTTGCTATGAGGATGAGGGGAGGGGAAACTGTATGTGTGCATGGCATAGAAAGCTCTCTCTGCTGGGATGAACATGGCACAGGCACGCACAGCTTTGGCTGAGGACTCTTGGGGCCTGTCCTGAAGAGAGCGAATGTTCGTTTGAGTGTGCATGTGTGTGGATGGGCATGTGTGAGTGTGCAAATGTTTGTGTGTGCACACCCGTGAGAGGGAGCATGTATCCCTGAGGGTGAGGCACGTGTGTGAGCATGTGCCTGGCCCTGCCCTGAAGAGGACTGCTGGCTTACTAGCAGCTGGAGTGCTTGCTCTACTGACAGGGCCTGTAATCATGGGAAATTACCCAGCCCAGAACTAAAATTAAGGCTGAGGTTGCTACCACAAGACCTGCTTAGAGCAGCCTCCCGGAAGAAGCTGGGGGAGGGATCTCTGCTGGGAGCTGGGACTTCTGGGGAACACAAGGTCTGGTTGAGAGGCAAGGACAGGAGAAATCCCAGCTCTTATTTGGCCCACAGATGCCCAATGCTGCCTTTCATTTCCCCTCTTCACAGCTTGGCACCCCTCTCTACTACCTAGAAGGTAAGCAATGGTCCTCTTTGCCTCTGAGAGGAGAGACTGAGCCTCCCAGAGGTTGAATAGTGAGGTCTGTCATTTCATCTCTTGGAGGACGGGGCTGCCTGCCAGCAGGATGGTACCTGGGCAGGGAGAAGGCAAGCTCTCTGGGCCCTGTGTGGTTGAGCAGTGTGAGTCCTGAAGGATTTCTCTGGCCTTTAACACTTGGTTGTTGGGTGTGAAGTGCACCAGAAAGAAACTCTAGGGTCCAAAAGCAATTCTCCTGGCTCCATCATGCCCCAGGATCTGGAGCATGACTCAGTGGGAGCTCACCCAGCTCTCCAGGGAGCTCAGTGAACCAAACGCCCGTCTATTCAGCCCTGTTCCCAGGCTTGGCCACTTTGCACCTAATTGGCCCATTGCTTTCTGTGTTCACATAGGGACCACCTGGGACAAGACTTTCCAGCTGAGGACACTGCTAACATCTTGTGTCTCTGCAAAGACCTCTCTGTGATCCTGTGAATGGATCTTCTCCCAAGCCAGTGAGTGTATTTTGTGGATAGCGGATGAGGTCTGCAAAGGGCTTCATGGCAGGGTAGATGGTTAGAAATAGGTTCACACACCCCCCCCCCCCATCCACCAGTCCCTAGGAGAACCTATATCATCAGTGTAGAGGCTATGGAGAGAAAAAGTGCTAGCCCAAGGCCCCAGATGGCATTTGTTGGCATACAATCTGCTGGCCTGCAGCCAAGGAGTGGTTGTATCTGACTGAGCAATGAAAAGTAATACGAGTGCCAAGCGCTGTTCTAGGACTCGAGTGTGTGCATGCACACCATCTAGGGTGCCCTATGAGCAGTTATCACCAGCTCCACTTCCACAGGCGAGGAAAGAGGCAGCTAGCCCCGGGCTTTGTGTACAGCTGAGTGGCAATGACATGTGACCTTTTTACCTGCAGGCTGGCAGCAGAGTGTGCAGTCTATGATCTGAATATGTCTGAATATGTCCAGTGTAGGGACTCTGCCCGTGTAGCCACCACAGATGGCTCTGCTCAGCAGAAAGCTCCCTTTTCAGTGGTCCAGAAGCAGCACCCTAAGTTGGACTCTCATGCTGGACATCTGCTATCTGGCTCTGCTTGCTTGGTCCTATGATGCCCCTATAAAGGCTTGGAAAAGACAGTCACAGGCAATGTGCATGCACTCCAATAGCTTAGGCCGGTGGTTGCAGCTGCCCTGTAGGTGCTGGGAACTGAACCTGGGCCCCTTGCAAGAGCAGTCAAGTGCTCTTGAAGACAAGATGCCCTGCCCATCTGTTCCTGATGCTTTTCTTTAGTCATGGTCTTGCCTTGTGTGGGATCCTGCTTAGTTACAGGACCTGGATCCATACTGCTTCCTGCAAGCCTGCAGGAAGCACCCTGGGCCAGGCCTTGTAAGGAAGACTGCTTACACAGACAAGCCAGGCAGAGGGCATCTGCCCTTCCCTCCCAGACCTCGAAGTCTAGGGAGGTCAAGAGCACAGGCTGCAGTGGCATGTTCCTGACTGGGACACCTTTTGTGTGGGCACCATGGACATAGCTTTGGTTCTTCAGGACTCAGAAATGGTGCCAGTGACTAGGCAGAGAGTAGTTTGACCGTGGCCATACAGGGACTCTGCATCCTGTCAGGGACTGAGGTCCTCCAACTGCTTCATATGTGTTCTTTGGAGCCCCTGCAGGCAGCCTGGGTTCCCCCCAGAGAATGTCATGGCCTTGACCCTGTAAAGCCTTCATGGCTGTTTCAGCACCCCTGGGGCCATGGAACTGAGGGTTGCTGAAGCCTGCAGGGCTGGCTGGAGGCGTGGGAGTCAAGGCAAAGCTAGTTCTCACTGCAGCCTTTACGTGATCCGAACTCCCTTCTCCCTGAAGCCCTTACGTGATCTGAACTCCCATGCTCCCTCTTGCCCTTTTAGATGGACAGCCCTTCCTGAATATCTCTGGGGAGCTCATTGCTTACCTTCTTGGGACAGAATCTCCCAAGGATGAAGAGAAACCCGATTATTAGAGACAGAAGAGCTGTTGATACCTTCTGGGAATACTGGAGACTAGGAACTGAGGCATCAAAAGAAGGGCTCACCTACAGCCCAGGGCCAGAGTCCAGGCAGGTGTGTGTTGCTCAGGCTCCATTGTTCTTTGCTGTCTTTGGCTGGTGTCCAGGCATCTACCTCATGTGCTCAATGACAGTGCACTCACTGGGTCAGTAGTATTTGAATTTCCTGTCTGCCCTTGCTCTCCAGACCCAGGTTCAGGGGGCAAGTCCACAGCCATGGATCCTTCCTGTTTTCTCACTTGTTCCTTTGAGGCACGCCCACTGGCTGGGTCACAGAGGACACTCTTCATCTCCACAGACAACCACAAGGTCAGAGACAATGCTTGCTCATCCATCTCTCTCATGCATTCAAAATTTTCTGTTGAGCCTCTGCTATCCTGTGTGCCAGAAATTGCTCCAGTGGCCAAGACACACTGATGAAAACAAATAATTCCCGACCCCAAGGACTTAATTGGCCCCTGCTGTTGACTCTTTCTCACCCACAGCATAGTCTCTTGCAGCAGTGTGGCCCGCAGCCAAAAGAGCAACCGGTCAAGGCAATAAGGAGACAGCACGGATCCAAAGCATAAGTAGGAGCAAGGATGGGGAAAGTCACAGTCATGCTTTTCTTCACCCAGAAATTACAGGGCTTCCATTTGACCCTCTCAGGACTGGAGGTGGAGGGGTCCTCGGAGGCATCTAGGACATCTGGTAGCCATCCCTCCCACTGAAGAGGCCTGGGCAGGGGGGCAAGAAGGACAAAGAGACCCAGGTACCTTCTTACTCCTGAATCCCTCCCAAACACTGCTTTCAGGTCCTGGTGGTCTGACTCCTCCCCTCCCCCCACCAAGTCATTTCTGCACACCATAAGACCTTGATCCCATCTCCTGCCCTCATTTCTCAGCATGGTCCTGGCCTTCCACATTGCAGGGCCCAATTGGGAGGTTAGCTCTCCACAGAAACCTAGGCAGAGAGGCAAGGGTCTGAGATGAGAGGCTAAGATGTAGAAGGAGGAAGCAGCTGAGGCAGAAAGGAGACTTCCTGCAGGAGAGGAGCTAAGCTTTGGAGAGATGCTGGAGGACTGGGCAGAGATGGGATAATAGAACTCACAGTATGTGAGATGAAATGAGACGGCTGTAACCCAAGGACCGGAGGTATCGCAAGCCATTCAGTCCCCCCCCCCCCCATACACACATCTTGAACTTTCAAACCCTAGTATTTAGAGTGTGCTCATTTAGATGTAGAACTTTTTACTTGTACTTTGGGCAGTGCTGAGTGGGAGTGGAACCTGAGATCTAGGTTTCATGCTAGGCAGGTGCTCTAGCTGAGCTATAACTAAAGTCTAATGAGGACTTTAAAGAAGTAATTAAAGTAAAGTCATATCGCTGGGGAGACTCTAAGCCAACATGCTGGTGCCATGATGACTCCTTTTTGTCTCTGGTCAAAGAAGAGACAAAAAGGAGTCATGTGAAAAAGGAAATACACCCACAAGCCAAGGAATGAGGTCTCAGAGTACAGCCTGCCAAGACCTTGATTTTGGGCTTCTAGCCATCTAGAAATATGAGGAAACAGATTTCTGTTGTTGAAGCATCCTGACAAGGGTGTTTGCTACAGTGGCCCCAGCTCAGTTGTCTAGGAGTCAGGCTGTTTGATTATGACTCTGTTCCTTGTTTCAGGCATGCATGCCCATGGCCATATGGAGCGCCCATTATCCAGGACTCTGCTGGGAAAAGACAAATACTAAGATGAGAGGTCTAGCTTATTATCTCCATGTGTTTGTGTCAAACGGAACCTCTTGTAACTATGAGGCACACCCAGAAGAGAAGGTGACATTCTTCATACGAAAATCAGGCTGACCTTTGAAGGGAATTGTGTTTGTCTTCAATAATACAGGAAAAGAGCAGATGCAGCATTGCCAGCACAAGGAGATGGATCAGCCATGGCCCAACTGCCGTCTTCTTCATGGGCACTCCCAGGAGGGAGGTACTTGTTTTACTCCTGGAGCCAGCAGAAAGCCAATGAGGAAGAGCTCATAAACCCATAGCTCATTCCTGGGCAGCATCATTCACAAAACTTCTGGATGTAGCAGGTGCTAATGGGTGATATTGAATGTCCACAGAATAGTTCTAAAGACAGCTAACCCTTTACTCCTCTAGACCTTACAGACTCCATGTCCTAAACAATGTAGAGGTGTCATCTTCATCAAGCCTCATCAAAGCCCAACGACGCAACATTGTTTCTTCCCCTGCTTTTCATATGAGAAAAGGAAGGCACAGGGAGATTCTCTGAAGAAGGCTACAATAGATGGTAAGACGAAAGGGTGATATGCTCAGGTGTGATGGGATGTGACCAGAGAAGGACCCAAGGGAAAAGAGTAGGGAACAACCATCTGGGCCACCCCTCCAAAGTCTTGCCCTCAAGAATGTCTTTAGGACACTCGCTAGACTGTCAGAGAAGAATGATTTTGCCTCTTGTTTGGGAATAGGGAGCAGCCGGGATGAGGAAGACAAGACTTACAAGACTACTGGGTACAGGGATGAGTAAAAAGGCCAGATGGATGGGGTGGACGATGATACACAGATAACCTCAGGTGGTGGTAGACAGAGCTTAAAATCTGTAGGCTTGTTAAGAATCCAGACCTCCTTGAATAGTACAGTGGTAAGTGCTTTGTTTTATCTTGTGTTTATTTATTATTATTTTTTAAAAACCACATCCACTATGCTCATATTTTGCTATTCTGGTTCTTTTATAGAACAGAGATAGTGGAAAGGACCACAGGCTGCAGTTGGCTGTCTATCTGTGAAAAACCCTTCTGTGCTCATAAGAGATTAGTTGTGGCTACATGACAGAATAAGGCCTACGACTGGAGGAGAAATGGGGGGTATTACTTCTGACAGAAGCATTAGGTATCATCCTGTATGGCATCAAATGGGTTTTCCTTTTAGGTCCCAGGTACTGGAGATACGCAAAGATGGTTGAACTATCTGTGTAGGACACAGAGGTGAGCTCCAGATGACACATGGTGGGAAAGAGACATGACAAAGTAAAAGCTATATAGTTTGGAACCACTAAGACACAGGGGCCTCTCGTTGCAGCAGTCTAATGTGTTTCAAGCCATGAGCAATCTGAGTCATGGCCTGCTGAGATGAGATTTGCTGTGTCACCCATGAAGCAAGGCAAATACAGTGACCTCAGGATACCATGAGATGACAGGAACACAGTGGTTCCTGTGAGGCGCATGAAGAGACTGTAGTACAATGGCTCCTATGACACCCCTAAAGACATTAGAGTGCAGTGGTCCCAAGTAGATGGAAAATATTTCATAAAAAAGTTATCTATTCCAGTCATGCACAGATTTGTTTTTCTGGTAAGTAATACAATTATTTGCTCGGCACTTTTTAAATTAATTTTTTATTTTTTAATATTAATTATAGTTTATTCACTTTGTATCCCAGCTGTAGCCCCCTCCCTCACTCCCTCCCAATATCACCCTCCCTTCCTCATCTCCTCCCATGTCCCTCCCCAAGTCCACTGATAGGGGAGGTCCTCCTCCCTTCCATCTGACTCTAGCCTATCAGGTCTCATCGGGACTGTCTGCATTGTCTTCCTCTGTGGCCCGGAAAGGCTGCTCCCCCTCAGGGGGAAGTGATCAAAGAGCCAACCACTGAGTTCATATCAGAGGCAGACCCTGTTCCCCTTACTAGGGTACCCACTTGGACACTGAGCTGCCATAGGCTACATCTGAGCAGGAGTTCTAGGTTATCTCCATGCATGGTCCTTGGTTGGAGTATCAGTCTCAGAAAAAATTCCTGTGCCCAGATTTTTTGGTTCTGTTGCTCCTGTCCTCTCCAGGTCTATCTCCCCCTTCTTTGATAAGATTCCCTACACTCTCCCCAAAGGTTGGTTATGAGTCAAGCATCTGCTTTGATACACTGCTGGGTAGAGACTTTTAGAGGCCCTCTGTGGTGGGCTCCTGTCCTGTTCCATTTTCTCACTCCTCTGATGTCGAACCCATTTGCCTTTCTGAGTGAGGATTGATCATCTTACGCAGGGTCTTCCTTCTTGCTTAGCTTCTTTAGATGAACAGACTTTAGTATGTTTATCATATATTGTATGTCTAGTATCCACTTATAAGTGTATCTTTCTTCTTCTGGGATACCTCACTCAGGATGACCTTTTCTAGATCCCACCATTTGCTGGTAAATTTCATGATTTTCTTGTTTTTAATTGCTGAGTAGTATTCCATTGTATAAATGTACCACAATTTCTTATCCATTCCTTAGCTGAGGAACATCTGGATTGTTTCCAGGTTCTGGATATTATGAATAAAACTGCTATAAACATGGTTGAGCAAAAGTCCTTGTTGTGTACTTGAGCATATACCACTCCTAGGCATAGGCCTAGGAGTGGTATAGCTGGATTTTGAGAAAGCATTATTCCTAATTGTCTGAGAAAACACCAGATTGGTTTCCAAAGTGGTTGTACAAGTTTCCATTCCCATGAGCAATGGAGGAGGGTTCCCCTTTCTCCACATCCTTTCTAGCATGTTTTGTTACTTGCGTTTTTGATCTTGGTCATTCTGAAGGGTGTAAGGTGAAATCTCAGGGTCGTTTTGATTTGCATTTCCCTGATAACTAAGGATGTTGAACATTTCTTTAAATGTTTCTCTGCCATTCGATATTCCTCTACAGAGAATTCTCTGTATAGCTCTGTAGCCCATTTTAAAAATTGGATTACATGATTTATTGCTTTTTACCCTCTTAAGTTTTTTTTTATATATTCTGGATATTAGCCCTTTGTCAGATACGGTGTTGGTGAAGATCCTTTCCCATCTGTAGGATGTCGTTTTGTTCTGATGACAGTGTCCTTTGCTTTACCAAAGCTTTTCAGTTTCATGAGGTCCCATTTATTGATTGTTGATCTTAGAGGCTGTTTTTTTGATGTTCTGTTCAGGAAGTTGTCTCCTATGCCAATGAGTTCAAGGCTCTTCCCCATTTTTCCTTCTAACAGATTTAGTGTGTCTGGCTTTATGTTGAGGTCTTTGATCCACTTGGACTTCAGTTTTGTGCAGTGTGATAAATATGGTTCTATTTGCATTTTCTACATGTAGACATCTAGTTAGACCAGCACCATTTGTTGAAGATGTTGGGTTTTTTCCGTTGTATAGTTTTGGCTTCTTTGTCAAAAATCAAGTATCCATAGGTGTGTGGGTTTATTTCAGGGTCTTCTATTCG